GCCTGTAGTCCCAGCTACTTGGGAGGCAGAGGCAGGAGGATCGCTTGAGCCCAGGAGTTGGAGGTTGCTATAAGCTGTGATGCCACAGCACTCTACTGAGAGTGATAGCTTGAAGGTCTGTTTCCAAAAAAATAAAAAATAAAAAAATAAAAGTTTATGTTATTCTCTACCTGCTCCTATTAATCTGTAAGGTTGGGGAGGTGCAGGAGCCAAGTCTTCTATGCCATACTACATAGCCAAGGCCAAGAACAGTAACACCATTCTGATAAGTAAACGTGTAAACAACATAAACTCTTAACCAATAGGCTCTTGACTGGCTAAAAGAGTGCTATTTACAGAAGGCAGGGAGAATATATTTGAATACTTAACAATCTGATTGTGAGAACTTAAAATTAAAAAGAGAAGGAGACAGAAAAATTCCCAGATAAAACTGGGAAAGAATATCAGGAATAACATTAAAAAAGGCATAAAATGTCTGGGAACTAAATTGTCAATATCTTTAGACATCTATAATCATACACAAAATAAAATAATTTAAAGTAACTTTAGGGTTTTGGGGAGGTATTTTTGTAGCTGTCATTGTTGTTGGCAGGCCCAGGCAGGGTTTGAACCCACCAGCCTGGTGTATGTGGGATCTAGCCACTAAGCTACAGGTGCTAAGCCAACTTTAGGGATTTTATAAGATAAATAAGACATGCTCCCTACCCATAACAATCTGAGCTTAGTGGATTTGTGAACACAGTATGTCAATGAATGGGAATTCATAAATATATATGTGTATATATATATATATATTTTTTTTTTTTATTTTTGAGACATAGTCTCATTATGTCACCTTTAGTAGAGTGCCATGGCGTCATAGCTCATAGCAACCTCAAAGTCTTGAGTTTAAGATTCTCTTGCCTCAGCTTCCCAAGTAGCTGGGATGATAGGTGCTCGCCACAACACCCGGGTATTTTTTTTGTTGCAGTTGTCATTATTGTTTGGCAGGTCTAGTCTGGGTTCGAACCCGCCAGCCTTGGTGTATGTGGCCAGCACCCTAACCACTAAGCTCCATGTGCCAAGCCTATCATTCAACTCTTAAGAGGGAAGTGGGTTGGGTGCGGTGGCTCATGACTATAATTCCAGCACTTAGGAGGCCGAGGTGGGTGGACTGTCTGAGCTCCTAAGTTCAAGATCAACCCGCAAGAGTGAGACCCCATCTCTGAAAGATAGCCAGGTGCTGTGGCAGGCGCCTGTAGTCACAGCTATATAGGAGGCTGAGGCAAGAGAATCACTTGAACCCAAGAGTTTGAGTGCTCTACCAAAGGTGACCAAGTGAGACCCTGTCTCAAAAAAAATAAATAAAATTAAGTTTAAAAAGGAGGGAAAGTAAGTGGAATAACAGCACACCTCAAAATGCTATTAACCAGGAGAAATCCATAAACTACTTGAGAACTTCTAAATGGGGATAAAAGAGAGATAGGGATGTGATACAGCTATTTTGGGATCACCCATCAGACTGCTCAATAATGAAAAATATGGATTGTTTTCTTGATTCACATCCTAAAACTGGAATGGCGATAATGATGTTATAGAAATAGGGAACTTCAAGCACTTTGACATTTGCTGAATACCAGATTTACCTAAAAGAAAAAAAAAGGGGGGCGGACAGCCTAATTCTTCCTGGCAGTTTCATTCGAAAAGGATAAGGGGGCTTAGCGCCCGTAGCACAGTGGTTACAGCACTAGCTACTTGCACTGAGACTGGTGGGTTCAAACCCAGCCCAGGCCTGATAAACAACAATGACAACTACAACAAAAAAATAGCCAGGCGGAGGTGCCTGTGGCTCAAAGGAGTACAAAGGAGTAGGGTGCCAGCCCCATATACTGGAGGTGGCAGGTTCAAACCCAGCCC